TAACTTTAACCAATCCATGAAGCGCGTTTCGCCCCATTTAGGACTCGTCAGATGAATGTACCTGCATCTGAGTTGATGTTCACTTTGGGGCTCAAACCCAGTACTGTTCGTTTCAAACGCCATCACGTTATCCATTTAGCTACTGAGTCTCGATAACCACTTGCTTGGCCAAGGGAGTGATTTGTAAATACACTTGGTATTGTTTGTTTGAATCTTTCCGTTGATGTTGTAGGGCCAGTGGAATTCCACTGAGCCCTAGCCAAATCATCCGGCAGTTGGATCATTGAATATCGAACAAATCATCGATCCTCGTCAATGTCAAGGACAGCCAATGCGCAACAGTTAGTCGTACGCCATGGACTGGCCCATGCGTCAGTGGTCATACTTTCGTTTGTATCTACTTTAACTAATATACCTCCGTAAAAACGTCTTCTGTGTTGTACAGTCTTCAAAGCATCTATACTACCTTGATACGTCAATGGGGTAGTCCACGTATGGTGCTGACCACGAGGTGTAACTTCGACGCTAGCTGGTTCGTCACTCCATTCCCGTCTAACTCGACTAAGCCTCTAATCATTTCGACATAGATCATCTACGTTGGTGAACTACAATGTTTAGGACTGCAATTGAGGAAGACACGCCCGGAGCTTTTGACCTGAAGCTCTGATCCATAAGACAGTGCATCAACGTCAGAAGATGCAGTCTTTACTTATATGGGTGCGTCCCCAGTATCCACCAACCCGATTAAAGCGCCAAATATTCGCTTTCCGCCTCCTCTATGGTTCGAAAAGGCAGTGAGTAGGACTTTCCTAACAATGGCTGTATGCATATGGATATAGAAGAGCATTTGGAGATGGATAGCTGACTCTCTTCACTCTCGGCTTCACCATGGCATATGAGAGCCCTCTAGTCCTTTCAAACAATGCATTTCACTGAAAATCCTAATGTAAGATGATGGTCAACATCATTTTATTTGGTTATCATGATCAGACATTGATAAATTATGAACAGATAATTTATCACGATCGTTGTAAACGTCTGATCTATTCAAGGAATAGTAACTTAATAATATTCTGAAACATATAGCATAATGTTTTCTGTCGTCTAACACATGGAAATGCTGAGGGAAACAAAACATGGAAGCTGGAAACATTTATTTTGGATCGATTCTTAAACTATTTTTGTTAAGAAGTAATATCATCCACATAATCAGTAGAGTAAGGCATTAATACCGTCAATTTCTGGTTCAGTGGCCTAGAAATGATGCTTTCGTGCATGACTAATTGTTCTTTGTTCGAGTCTTGCATATGAGATCATGGATATACACTGCTGAGGAGTCCCATACTAGAACAAATTTATTTTATTTATTTATTTATTTTAACACATAGATATTGGTACACGGAGGTACCAAATACATATGCGTCACACAGATCTCATTTGATATGTGTGAGGGCTGTGATACTGCCCGGATTCCTAAACCGAAGCAGGTGGTTTTCTTAGGGGGCTACATCCCGAGCCTTCGACTTGAATGTCTAACCCACAAGGCAGCGGAGCATCGTAAGGAGATGCAGTCCCATGGTAGCCAGCCGCTGACTAACGATCGGTTCATACGCCATTTGTTCCCTCAGGATATTGGAGTCAGACCATGTGCACAATTAGTTTGGGATCCGGTTAAAGCACCGGACATTCGCTTTTCGTCCTCTCATTTTCGTAAACAACAGGTATGCCACGAGAAGGCAGTGATTAGAACTTCCCTGGTAGAAGCTATATACGCGCAGCCGTGTGAGAGCATTTCGAGAGGGAGAGTGGACTCTCCACACTCTCGGCCGTACCAGGGCATTTGGGGGCATACTAGAACAAAACAATCGTTCAGTGCTTGCGGATTTTTAATTTTGACCTAATATTGATCATTTCATGATCTCAATAAAAAAATAATCATAAAAAATCAATAATTCATCAAATGAACATCAAAATGTCAATTAGTTTGATCACTATTTTGAATAGTTTGACATGACAAAGTTATGGAATCGGAATAGTCCACTGTTAACGACTCAAGCTGTGAAGTTGAATAACATGAGTTCGAATCCGACGCGGAGTAGAAGATCCATTAATATATTGTAGACATACCTTGTTGATGTATAGTAACTAGCAGAAAACTTAAATTGACCAATGTTTCCTATCAACTAATTCCATGTACAATTTCTGCTAATCTCTTAGCATAAACCGGTGTACAATGTCAACCATGTGCCTATCAAGGAATTAGTGTAAAACATACAACTGAACATTCTCAGTGGTTTATGATCAAATAAGCTAGAAATCATTGAAAATCGAATGCTTAAACTTATGCCCGTTAGGAAAATCACTAACATGGGTCGATACAATAAAGTATGTTTCTAGTTTAGATTTTACAGATCCCAAACAAACAATGTACATTTGAATAAATTGTGTGTGTGTGCGACTCTAAGCAGAGTTGAATGATGTAAAGGAATGGAAGTGAGAATATGTATTTTGTTCCAATTTAGACTAATCGGTTGGATGTACCTGGAAACCAAAGTTGATTTTAACTTCGAAACTAGAACTTAGTACCGTTAGCTTCAAACGTCATCGTATTATCCTTTTAGCTGCTGTATTTGGATAACCATTGTGTTGTGTAATGAGGTGAATATTAATTGATATATTAGTTAGTTATTAGTTACGACTGTTACTCCTCGTGGAGGAGTATAGACTGCCCACCAGCACTCGCCATTCAACCCTGTTCTAGGTAGTCCTTTCAAACTCTTCCCAGTTGTTATTCATATTTTTCATATCTGATTCTACTTCTCAGTGTAATATGTTCTTTGACCTTCCTCTTTTACTCTTCCCTTTAGGATTCCAAGTTAGCCCTTGTTTCGTGATGCAGTTTGGTGATTACTGTAATGTGTGTCCTATCCATTTCCATTGTCTTACCTTAGTTTCCTCATCAGTTGGAAGTTGGTTTGTTCGCTCCCACAGTAGGCTGTTGCTGATGGTATCCGGCCAATGGATGTTGAGTATCTTGTGTAGACAACTATTTATAAATACTTATACCTTCTTAATGATGGCCGTGTTAGTTCTTTTGTCTTGACGTTCGTATTCGAGATTGTGACTTTGATATTGATTGTCAGTTATTTTGATTTCCATATGTTCTTCAATTGTAGTAATGCGGCCCTTTTTTTTCCGATCCCAATTCATATATATATATATATATATATATATATATATATATATATATATATATATATATATATATATATATATATATATATATATATATATATATATATAGTTCAATAAACATTTCATTCAATTTCATGATGATATAGCTGCTTATATACATATGAGTATGTTCAAATTAACTTATTTAACAGACAGAATCATTGGTACAACAACAGAAACAACAAGTTATCTATACCATTGTATTTGTATTATTATTACGTTTGTATGAACATGTATGCTTGAGCATTGCTTACCGCCAACGTACTTATTCATTCTGTTAGTCGGTTGAGTGATTCAATGGCGCATTCATTTTCCTATACATTTCCTGTACATTTTAATCCTGTCCATTGAACACCCTCACTCGATTGCTTGCTTGCTCTTCGACACTCGTATATCATTCTTCCTTCGTGTACCTATGGTTTCCCTTATTTGTGTGTCACACAATAATAAACTTAATCAACGCTTCATATTGATCTTCCAATTTTGTGAGGACATCCCGCGGTTGAACTTGATGAAAACTGTAAGAAGCTCAAAAAGAATCGAATATATTCCATCCAATCATCTTTTGGAAGAATATTCTGCAATCTTTATGTGTAGCTTTTCTATTGGATAAATTGTAAAACCCCCTGTATGCGGATTGGATGAAAATTAATGATGATTTCAGTTTTACTGAAAAAAATATAAATACTTGAGAACTTGTAACATAATCGACACTGTTTTGGAATAGCATTCTTTTCATTTGTCTTCAGTTTTCTCATTTGTGACTTGAGGAGTTCTAGTGTTCAAGTGCTTAATTTATAGGTGGTATGTTAAGAATCTAACAGATCTATACATCGTTGGGTTAGATATCTAGTGTCAGCTATTTGGAGGAGCAACATACAAAGTCTAATGAACTATATCAAATGCTGACTACCATAATGGTTTTCATTCAAATACAACTTAAATTGATATTTTACATTAATCTACTCTTGAACAAACCTTGACTATTTTATTACCTGTTATTTTGATGTAGTTTTGTTCTATGAGTTGGATGTTTTGGTCGTGAAGCTTTCGATTGTTCTTCTAAACGACATCATCAGTGTCAAACTTCAAATAGAAGTGAAGTGTAGACGGTGGTTGGAGGTAGTCGACAGGAAACGCTGGACACGGGTTTCGTGCTATTTCGCACTCGTCAGCAAGGTGTATTTGTAATCTTTGAGGGAAGTGGTGCTCCCTGGCGGATTGGACCCTGTGTCACCCAGCTTCATAGTCAGAGACGTTACCACTGAGCTATGCGGGCCGTGACCGACCTCCTGTAGGACTGAGATGTAATCACAATTGATTGATCACTGGGTTGTTGGTGAGCAATGTCATGCGTGTCTAGTCCTTATTATTAGTGTAAATCGAATGCTATCAAAGTGAAGTGTTCGAATTACTCCACATATATAGTTCACAATTTGTCTTATAGATCTTGAAGTTGATTAGTTCTTGTTTTGTTTGATATTAAACAGACCAATCTGTTGACCATATTTATGGAGAATTTTAAACACTTCACTTCTATTTGAAGTTTATCACTGATGATATCGTTTAGAAGAACAATCGAAAGTTCCACAATCAAATTATCCAGCTTAGATAACAAAAAACTTCATCGAAATCATCCAACTGAACTATAAATCTTCTTCAGTATTTTATTACCGTTTTATAGGATCCATTGAACATGTAAATCATCATCAAAAGAAGATCATTCAATGTTTATTCTTTTCTTCTTTTCTTTTTATTTTTTTTTTAAAAAAAATAATAATCCAAAAGAAAGAAAAATGTATTTGTACAGCTCATTATATAGTAAGGTAAGTTATTCTATAGAAAATATATATCAAATATAAAAGCACATAAATACATCACTGAGCTTATTGTATTTAAAGGAAGTGATCAATATATAGTAGCCACATAGAAACAAAATATACTTTTTGTTTTTTTTTTCATTGTTAATAATCAATAATTTCAGGGGGGAGGGAGGGAGGGAGGGATATAATCTCGATGAGACTATAATTTATAAACAACCTTTGAGCGACACTGAACTGATTTTCAGACTGTTCAGCTAATAATCAAGATCAAATGACAATTATGAACCTGTTTAAGGAATTAAATTGAAGGTTTTTCATCACCAACTTACATCAGCTATAATGCCAAAATGGTATTCAGCCATATGGATGAATGGATTTCGCGCCAAAATCCATTATCTATAATCTTATACATGATTGATTCGTCTATAAATTATAGTCTTTACCATAATCTGTACAATAGTTGAATAGATACAACATTTAACAGAAGATTCATATTCTAACATTCAATAGGTTATAAGGCATTATTTGTTTATGTATTCATAAGTGAATAGAACCTTAGATGTAAATAGAATGAAGAGAAATAACTGAAAAGTGTACATTATGAATGATAAACGGTGTCATAACCCCTCCCCCCCCAAAAAAAAGAAACAAAGCAAATCATTACCATTTTAATGTATGAACAAAGATGATAATGTTTAGTTATTTGTTTAGTCAAACTAGTAGACAGTCGTCGGTTTCCAATGTGGAAATAGATTTACATTCTAATCAAACTAATCATACATATATACTTGATCTGATTTATATTGTAATCTTATAGAATAAACACTGGGAAAGAGTCTACTGTAACTATTCATCTATACAAAATACTATGGATCCATTGATTCAACACCATGAAGAACATTCAACTATGGGAAAGAACAAATCAAATTCCATCGAAGAAAGAAATCATTCAACAACAAAAAAACACACGCTAGAAATGGATAGGACACAGATAGAAGAAAGCAATCAACTATATCATAAGGCAAATTCTAAATACCAAAAAAGACCATTATATCTAGAAATCAAGATAAACATAAAATGAATAAACAAGAAAGAAAGAAAGAAAGAAAGAAAGAAAGAAAGAAAGGAAAGCCTATGACAGAGTAGATTATAGAATGCTACTTGGCAAATAAATGAAATATCCTTTTCATGTTAAAAACAAACATAACTTCAACTATATCCTTTTAACATATTGATTATTTATTTTTGTTACTATGCAAATGTTGGTTTAAATAATGGCATAATTAATAAGATGACAATAGTTGCTATCATAGCAATCAATAAAAATAACCAAAATAACATACGATCTACAATAACAGCTAAAATACGCCATTCATTAATAATATCCATAATGGATTGTTCATAATATTGTTTATAATATAAATTTAATAAATAAATTTCAATAAATTTTTGTTGTTTTTCTGTTTTTTTTAAAATTTTTGTTAATTTTTTTAAGAAATCATTCAATTCTTCATAATGATTTATACTACTATAATAAGTAGTATGTTTTTGTTTATTAAAAGAATTCAGTAGTATTGAATGATGATCATCTATAAGATGATTTGTAGATTGTGTATATGTTATATATTGATGATCATAAGACATTTCACATTGTTTATATTGTGAATTTGAATTATGTTTTATAGAAGTGGATTGTTGATTTTCATTGTCCACTAATTGAACAACATGTATAGTTTTAGGTTCATTCATGGATGGTGGACAATTCAATGTATTCATCATCTCCTTCTTCTTCATCTTCATCTTCTTCATCTTCTTCTTCATCATCATCTTGATAGATTCATATTGTTCATGATCATCTTGTTGTTCAATGAAGTTTTCTTTATCATTTTTCCTTGATGATAATCTTTGTTCTTTAGTTTGTAGATTAGTATTAATAACATCAGATGGTAAATAATGATTAGAATATGATAAATATGAATCATTATATTGATTATTTTGATTATTTAAATTATGATCAAGTTGATCTAAAATCAATTTTGTTTGTTTTATTAATTTGATTGATTGATCCTGTTTTATTTGATATTGATATACAATATTTAAACATAATAATTTAGCAATAAAATTAAAAAATATTTTTTTTATATATTTTGGTACAGGTTGACGATTAGATCCAGTATGATGTAAATGTAATACTAATACAGTTAATATAATGGATAATGATGTCATTGTCATGGTAACTGTAAGGTAAACACCTGGGAAAAAAAAAAGAATAATGAATACAATATATAGGTCAGTCAGTCAGCTGCAACGTAGGACCAGGCACGTATATGCATCGGTCCAAGTTGCCATACCGCATTAGCACAACAAGATGAACACCGGATTCATAGAGGTAGTTAATTCAGTGGTGGTAATATATAGAAGAAAGACTGTGTATAAGGAGATAGTAAAGGAAGAAAGAATTAGTTCCTAGACAGATATGAAGCGATTTTAATCTCTTAATTTAAAGGAAAACAGAGAGTGTATACACCGACGCCATTGTGATCGATTCTGAGCCATGTCACCAAGAGTCTCCAACCATTGGTTACGATAGTCACGCGGACCCCAACCAGGCAGTCTGAATCTCCCAACATGGCTCAGACCAGAAGTTAGTGACTTCAAGCACTGATGCCACGTTTTAGTTTGGCCGCCCCTAACTTTCTTCCAATTATCCCCTGCACTAGTCAGCATTACGCGTCGTGGTAATCGGTGTTCAGGCATACGTAACACGTGGCCCAACCATCTCAGTCGATGAAGATTCATAACCTCATCAACTGATTTACCATCATTCCCTAATACCCTGCGTCTAACCTCACTATTACTTACCCGGTGATCCCAGCAGATACCCGCAATATTTCTAAGGCACCTGTGGTCAAATACTAGTAACTTACGAATATCTTCCACTCTTAAAGGCCATGTTTCGCAGCCGTATAGAAGGACGGAACGAACTGACGCGCAGTATACTCGTCCCTTAATTGATAGACGGATATCTCGCCTTCGCCATAGATGACGTAAGTCGGCAAAGGCCAAGTGAGCTTTTCGAATCGGTGCTGAGATTTCGTCAGACACCAACCCATTAGGGCTGATCAGACTTCCAAGATACAATATATAGGTACTACAGTATAGTTTGTATCTTTAAAAGAACCAGCTGCCAAAATGAATTGATACGGCCGAAAGTGGTGGGAGGTCAGCTCTTCTTCTCGAAATGCTCTCAAATCGCCACGTGTATGTATACAGCCACTTAAAGAGAATTCCTACTCACTACGTTTTCGCAGTATCAGTGTTACTTATGAAATTAAGAAAACGGAAAGCAGATATCTGGCGCTTCAACCGGGTCAGTAGATGTGGAGGGTCTGCCTAGGGAAGTTCGAATGGTGCACATGGGCTCCAGGATCCTGAAGGAACGAATGGTGTATGAACTAATTATTGGTCACCGGCTACCATGTGACGTTCCTCCAATGCCTTGTGAATCAAACTTTTAGATCAAAGGCTCTGGGTGTGTCTCTCTAATAAAATCACCTGCTCCGGTTTTGATACCCGGGTAGTATTCCTGCTATCACATAAATCGAATGATGTGATACATATGTATTTGGTGCATCCTTGTATCACTACAATCTATCTATACAATTATAAATATGAATGTACAGCATTGGTAAATGATATCATCATAAAGATCATCGTTGAGACTATAATTTATGAACAACACTAGACTCACCTTAAGAGTGTCCACTTAATGACTAGGACTAAATGAAGGTTATAAACCAGTGTGAGGAGTTACAATTAATATTTACAGTTGATAGTTACGGATTAGCAATTAGATTTCAAGTTTTCATCACCAACTTACATCAGCTATAATGCTGAAAAGTCTATTGAGCTAAATGCATAAGTGAATTTCGCGCCAAAACCCTAGACCTGTTATCTTATACGTGATTAGTTTCGTCCATAAATTATAGTCTCGCCTCTTATGGTTTATAGTCGAATTGTAATCATTAATTACTATTCTCTTATATACTATACTATTTAACAATAAGGGGCTATAGTTCAATTGTTACTTCATCTTATACAGAACTAAACAACACGTTTCTTTTAATCTCCAACGGTGAAGTGAAATATAACATTCTCTTTTGATATGACTATAAGATATTTATTTATTTATTTTAACACATAGATATTGGTACACGGAACTCCGCCTGGAGTCCCTTTCCGGGGGCTACTGCTGGTCCCAAGCCCGGATAAAGGAGGAGGGTTGGGCATGGGGTTAGCGACCCCACCCCGTAGAAAACTAACTCGCTAAAAAAACGCTAACCAGAAAAATTATTCAAACCATTTAAACTCTGCCCTGGGAGTCAGAAGGTCTTCGTTTAGAAGAATTATGACTCCTCATGATGAAAGCCGAGTTTCTTCGGAAGTCACGAGGCCGATGCCCCTTCTGACAAACAGAGCAACCATTTACTTAGGTACATGGAATGCCCGCACAATGTGGGAGACTGGGAGAGTTTTCCAAATTGCTGCAGAAATGAGGAGATACAATTTAGAGGTGCTTGGGATCAGTGAAACACATTGGACGCAAGTTGGACAACAACGACTAGCTTCAGGGGAGCTGCTGTTATACTCCGGACATGAACAAGAAAATGCCCCACATACACAAGGAGTTGCATTGATGCTGTCCAAACAAGCACAAAATGCACTTATAGGATGGGAATCTCATGGACCAAGGATCATCAAAGCCTCCTTCAAAACAAAGAAAACGGGGATTACAATGAACGTCATCCAATGCTACGCGCCTACCAATGACTACAACGAAGACGCTAAAGATCAATTCTACGATAGGCTGCAGTCAATCGTCGAGAAGTGCCCAACAAAGGACCTGACTATTCTGATGGGAGACCTAAATGCCAAGGTTGGAATTGACAACACCGGATATAAAGACATCATGGGATGACACGGACTGGGAGAAAGGAACGAACATGGTGAGAGATTTGCAAATCTATGTGCATTCAATAATCTGGTCATAGGCGGGACTATATTCCCACATAAACGCATCCACAAAACCACATGGACTTCACCGGATCACACCACACAAAACCAAATCGACCATATCTGCATCAACAAAAAGTTCAGGAGGACGATGGAGGACGTGAGAACAAAGAGAGGAGCTGATATAGCATCAGATCATCACTTGCTGGTCTCCAAGATGGAATTGAAACTCAAGAGGCACTGGACAACGGGGAGGACAATATCACAAAAATTTAATATGGCTCTTCTTCGGGATACTGACAAACTCAATAAATTCAAGATAACCCTCAGCAATAAGTTCCAAGCCTTTCATGATCTACTCAATGGAGAAGGAACTACTATGGAGAGCAACTGGAAAGAGATAAAAGAGGCAATCACTTCAACATGTCATGAGGTTCTGGGCCAAAAGAAGCACCATCACAAGGATTGGATCACGGTCAATACACTGGATAAGATTCAAGAAAGGAGGAACAAGAAGGCAGCAATCAATACCAGTCGAACATGAGCAGAAAAAGCCAAGGCACAGGCTGAATACACATAAGTAAACAAGCAAGTGAAGAGGAGCATCAGAACTGACAAACGTAAATATGTGGAAGATTTGGCAATGACGGCGGAAAAGGCTGCCAGAGAAGGAAACATGAGACAACTGTATGACACAACAAAGAAACTCTCCGGAACTCACCGTAAACCAGAACGACCAGTGAAAAGCAAGGAAGGCAAGATAATCACCAACATTGAAGAAGAACGAAACAGGTGGGTAGAACACTTCAAAGAACTCTTGAATCGACCAGCCCCACTGAACCCACCCAACATCGAAGCAGCACTCACGGACCTCCCAATTGATGTTGGCGCACCGACAATTGAAGAAATCAGCATGGCTATCAGACAAATCAAGAGTGGCAAAGCAGCAGGACTAGACAGCATTCCAGCAGAGGCACTGAAAGCAGACGTAGCAGCAACTGCAAGGATACTCCAAACTCTCTTCAGAAAGATCTGGGATGAGGAACAGGTACCAAAAGACTGGAAAGAAGGATTTCTAGTCAAAATACCAAAGAAAGGCGATCTCAGCAACTGTGACAACTACAGGGGAATCACTCTTCTTTCAATACCAGGAAAAGTCTTCAACAGGGTATTGTTAAACAGGATGAAGGACTCCGTAGACGCCCAACTTCGAGACCAACAGGCAGGATTCCGTAAGCCTCAATATACACAAAAGGAAAAGCAAGATTCTCGGATACAACACAGCATGCACCAATCCAATCACAGTTGACGGAGAAGCTTTGGAAGATGTAAAAACCTTTACATATCTGGGCAGCATCATCGATGAACACGGTGGATCTGATGCAGATGTGAAGGCACGGATTAGCAAAGCAAGAGCAGCATATTTACAATTGAAGAATATCTGGAACTCAAAACAATTAGCAACCAACACCAAAGTCAGAATTTTCAATACAAATGTGAAGACAGTTCTACTGTATGAAGCGGAAACCTGGAAAACTACGAAATCCATCGTCCAAAAGATACAGGTGTTTATTAACAGTTGTCTACGCAAAATACTTCAGATCCGTTGGCCGGACACTATTAGCAACAGCGTACTGTGTGAGAGAACAAATCAGATCCCAGTGGAGGATGAAATCAGGAAGAAACGCTGGAAGTGGATAGGACACACATTGAGGAAAGCACCGAACTGCGTCACATGACAAGTCCTCACATGGAATCCTCAAGTTCGGAGGAGGAGAGGAAGGCCAAACAACACATTACTCTGAGAAATGGAGATAGATATGAGAAAAATGAACAAGAATTGGATGGAACTAGTAAAGAAGGCCCAGGACAGAGTGGGTCGGTTGGAGAATGCTGGTCGGCGGCCTATGCTCCATTGGGAGTAACAGGCGTAAGTAAGTAAGTAAGTATTGGTACACGGAGGTACCAAATACATATGCGTCACACAGATCTCATTTGATATGTGTGAGGGCTATGATACTGCCCGGATTCCTAAACCGAAGCAGGTGGTTTTCTTAGGGGGCTACATCATGAGCCTTCGACCTGAATGTCTAACCCACAATGCAGTGGAGCATCGTAAGGAGATGCAGTCCCATGGTAGCCAGCCGCTGACTAACGATTGGTTCATACGCCATTTGTTCCCTCAGGATATTGGAGTCAGACCATGTGCACAATTAGTTTGAGATCCGGTTAAAGCACCGGACATTCGCTTTTCGTCCTCTCATTTTCGTAAACAACAGTTATGCCACGAGAAGGCAGTGAGTAGAACTTCCCTGGTAGAAGCTATATACATGTGGCCATGTGAGAGCATTTTGAGAGGGAGAGCGGACTCTCTACACTCTCGGCCGTACCACATCATTTGAGGGCAAGTGTAAGATAAAACACATTATAATTCTGATATAATGACTGTTCAACGTATCAGATTACATGCGTGAAAGCTTTAAATGACACTTCAAATGATAGAATCAATAAATAATTGTATTGAAAAGTTTAAGCTATATATGCAAAGGGAATATGTTCAACAGCTTCATTTACCTTGGCCAACTTCTCTGGTAATTAATAAATTGTAAATATAATTAAAGAATAATCTAACTTTACAAGTGTATTTTCAACCTTTCTTTGTTAAATATAATTGTAATTTAATAGTTGAATTCCATAATATGGAAAACGTTGAAGTACTAGAAGGTCGTTTCTTCCTAGTATGGGACTTCTCAGCAGTGCTTAGCCGTGATCCCGCTGGCGGGATTCGAACACAGGACCTTCAATCTCGCTTGAGAACACCTAACTAGTTAATTTAATCTTCTATGAAACATTTCATAAAATTCTAACTTGTACTATTATTTCTCTCAGCCTATCTGATCCATATTTGTCCTGATATTTGATCTTATATTTTCATTAAAAGTATAATCTGATTCAAGTTAGCAATATATATATATATATATATATATATATATTAGTCATCTCAATATTTACAATCCCAAATTCTCATGCTGGTGATTAGTCGGATTGTTGATGAAGGTATATAATAGTAGAACTTGAAGAGAATTTATTGAAATGAATCTTCTATTATATATGTTAATGTTTTATCAAATATTTCCTAGTTTCATTTGAGTTACTGATAATCGTAAATAAGTAGTATAAATATTTATTATTCATTTTTAGTTTGAATTTTTCATGATTAAATAAAAGGTTAGATATTAACATCTTTGGATGCCGTTCTCACGTATGATTGAAGGTGCTGTGTTTTGAATCCCACAAGAACAATCGTGTATGCTCACTGCTATTGATTAATTCCAGAATAGGATGAAACGACTGTCAAATACTTTCAGATTTTCAATGATCGTCTCACATCAATCCATACAAGATCTCAATAATTAATAATAAAAAATGTTAACATTATGATTAATCTATAATGTATCACTTACCAATTAAAGGTACAAATTCACTAGTTGCTGGCATATTCTCTGCAATCAATAACATAAATACACTAAATGCTAATAGTACAGTAATACCAAGTGTAATTTTTTCACCAGAATCTGGTGGTAACCAAAAACTTACTAAACTTAATACTGTTAACCATAAACATGGAAATATGATATTAAATAAATAATAAAGTGTACGTCGACGCATATAAATTGTAAAACGTAAATCAGGATATGGTTCATTACAGCATGGATAAAATATCTAAATAGAATAGAGAAATACAAATAACATGATATTGATTAAGTTATTCTAGATTATAATGAAATGAACAATAATAATTTATAAAGTGATCAATTTATATTGATTTCATTCTATTTTAAAATATAATTGATTTATATAGAAACTAATTTAATCACCATAGTAACTAAGAATTATGAAACATAAAGTATTGATTTAATATGTTATTCATAGTGATAACACATTACTAGTGATGTGTTGAATTCGTCTGCGGTGGCGGTCTCACCAATTTAATGGCTCGAGATCTGACTCCAAATAGATCATATGAATGTTTGTTATCGCCTATCGTATATAATCATAGGCTTAAATCATGTTAGTTAATAACGGAATTATATAAGTCAAATAACGAGAATGTAACTTTGGATACATATATTTTGTATATGAAGCGAATGGAATAAAACGAGATGGCGGGTAAGCCAACTCCCCTTTAGTCAAGCGTTAATCAATATTTATAAGCATACAAAAGTAAGTTACAGACATGTGATAAGTAGTGGGATAAGAAGTGTACACACGTCTAAGCGCTCATATAAAAACAGTCAAGATCGATAAGCGAATAATTAACAAGGTTAGAATGTAACTCAAGTAGAATGAATAGAATAGGCTGTCCGGAAGTAAGAATAAGGTATTTGGGCTTAACATAGTAACAGACACTACAGATTTACATTTGTATCTGAAGAGGCTTTGTAGAGATTGTAGTTATTTCAATAGTTGAGATGATGAGTCAATTGAAGCTAGATCATCATGGAAAACCTGGTAGCACTGGACGGTCGTTTCATTCTATTATAGAACTCCTCAGTTGTGCACATCCACTATCGTACTCCGCAAGATTCGAACCCTGAGCTATCAGTCTTGAGTGCGAATACTTAACCTTTAGACCACTGAGCTGGCATACACGATGGTCTAACTTCAATTGACTCATGAATTTATTTGTTAAATTACTAGAGTCTCCAGAAAACCCCTCTCTGAAGATAAAATACTGTTTAATAGCTCGACATCTGAACTGAGTTAGATCGTATGATTGATAGTTATCGACATAGACATATCGTCAATCCTCGTATATAATTATCGACTTAATCTATGTTAGTGAATAATGGAATTAAATAAGCCAAATATGAGAATGAATTTAGAATATGTATATTTCATACAATCGTTGATCCAGACTCACTGACTCATTCACTAGCTTACTCTTCGGCACTCGCATATCATTCATGCTTCGCGTACCTGTGGTTTTCGTCTTCTGATCTATACATTTATTTATTTATTTAAACACATGAATATTGGTACAAGAAGACATCACAATTGATTGATCACCGGGTGGTGAACAATGTCACGCGTGTCTAGTCCTTATTATTAGTGAAGATCAAATTCTATCGACTATGTTGCAATGTGGCCACCACTCTAGGTGACTCGACTCCCCGTCGATTACCTCCAACCACCATCTTATCTTACAATAGTGCCCTCAGTGTCGAGTCACGCATGACATTGGTCACCACCCAGTGATCAATCAATTGTGATTACATGTCAATCCTACAGGAGGTCGATCGCGGACCGTATAGCTCAGTGGTAACGTCTCTGACTGTGAAGCTGGGTGACACAGGATGAAATCCGTCAGAGAGCACCAGTTCGCACAAAGATTACAGGTACACCTTGCTGACGAGTGCCAAATAGCACGAAACCCATGTCCAGCGTTTCCTGTCGACTACCTCCAACCACCATCTAATCTAACAAGAAGGCATCAAATGAATATGCACCACACAAATCATGTCTATGACGTATTTTTGGTCTGACTATAAATAATGGATAACACTTAATTACATGGAGTCGGCTAACACACCTTCTCCATCGCGCATCATTTCGATTCATCCCTCTGATTACCTATGCAGATCAGTGAATGTACAAAATATACGAGGATAGACGACACACATATATAGTTCAATAGAAATCATTGGTATAATCCAAATGGAATCAGATTTCGGTTTATTAATAACCAATGCATTGACAAACATCAACATATATATATATATATATATATATATATATATATATATCAATGTTCTAATAATATAGACATAGATCCATTAATATAGTAAGTATATAAAACTCTATACCTCATGTCTTTCTACAACAACTTTAAGTAGATCCCATTCACCATTTTCAACATAATTCGATGTATCTACTTCATCATGTCTAAAACAACAACAACAAAAAAAATAGGAACAAGTAACAAATCTAATCTCTATTGAAAGAATAGAATCTGAATAAAGAATACCTCTTTTGGTTCCGATCTGTATTTCATTTATTCATAGAACTAGACATTCAATGATTAGGTTCATACTTCATAGACATTAACTAATCTTCCTTACTTACTTACTTACTTACGCCTGTTACTCCCGAATGAAGCATAGGTTACTAACCAGCATTCTGCAATCAACCCATTCTGTCATAGGCCTTCCTTTCCAGTTCTATCCAATGCTTGTTCCTTCTTATGTATGTCTCCATTTCTCAGCGTAATGTGTTCTTTGGTCTTTCTCTTTTCCTTTGACCTTAAGGATCTTATGTGGGGACTTGTCTTGTGACACAGTTGTGTGCTTTCCTCAATATGTGTCCTATGAACTACCAGCGGTTCTTCCTGAATACTTCCTCCACTGGGATCTGGTTTGTTCTCTCCCATCGTAGTTTATTGCTGATAGTATAGTGTCCGGGCAACGGATCCGAAGTATTTTGCATAGACAACTTTTGTTGAACACTTGTATCTTCTGAATGATGGCTTTCGTAGTTCTCCAGGTTTCCGCCCCATACAGTAGAACTGTGTTGATATTCGTATTGAAAATGGTGACTTTGGTGTTGGTTGCCAATTGTTTTGAATTCGAGTTCTTCAGTTGTAAATATGCTGCTCTTGCTTTGCAGATCTGCACGTTCACATCTGCATCAGATCCACCGTTTTCATCACTGATGTTACCCAGATGTGTAAGGGTTTTTACATCTTCCAAATCTTCTTCGTCAATTGTGATTGGATTGGTGCATGCTGTGTTGTATCGGAGAATCTTGCTTTTCCCTTTGTCTATATTGAGACCTACTGTTGCTGAGGCTGCTGCAACACTGATCGTCTTCTCCCGCATTTGTTGTTGCGTTTGCGATAGAAGAGCCAGGTTAACTGCAAAGTCTAGATCATCCAACTGCATCCTAGATGTCCACTGTATCCCGTGTTTCCCTTCAGATATTGACGTCTTCATGATCTAGTCGATCACCAGGAGAAAGAGAAAGGGTGAGAGTAAGCAACCTTGCCTGACACCGGTCTTTACTTCGAACGACTTTGTTAACTGTCCTCCATGAACAATTTTGCATACTAACTACTCAGTATTGTTTATTCTAGTTCTCATTTAATGATAGTGTTTATACGATACTAATCTGTCTGTGATAATAATATGAAAAGTTAATTGCTGAAATGAAACAAGATATGATTGTGTTTTACTTGAACACTGCTTACTTGCTTAATTACGCCAGTTACTACTCATTGAGGAGCATAAGTCTCTCACCAGCATTCTTTATCCAACATTGTTGTGGGCAATCCCTTCCAGTTGTTATTCATCCTTTTTATGTTTTCTTTCAATTCTTTGGCCTCCCTCTTTTCTGTTTCCCTTCAGAATTCCAAGTTAGTGCTTGCTTCATGATGCAGTTCGACGATTTCCACAATGTTTGTCCTATTCATTTCTATTGTCTTCTCTTAATTCTCTCTTCATCAGGAAGCTGGTTTGTTCTCTTACACAATAGACTGTATGCTGATAATATACGGTTAATCGAAATGGATTACATTGTGTAGACAACTGTTTATAAATTCTTGTATTTCTTTGGTGATAGTTGTAATAATTCTCCAAGTTACACCATACTGTTGAGCTTAAATTGTCATCAATCAATATGGGTGAGATTTGAAATCGCACAAAGTTAACGATTGTACTACATTTGACCGTGATTGTTTGTAAATCAATATTCAAGCAAGAACTTATTCACAATTTGTATCTTTCCTTTCCTTTCACATAGAATATAAACTCATATATAGTTGTATAATTGAAAATGTGATTCCATATTTGATGTCATTGGTAATTTGAATGTCAGAACTTTAGTGTCAATAGTACGACTATAATTAATGAACGAACATAACTTAGTCTTAATTTACAATTAAGACGAATGGTGGCTAACGTGGGCTCTAGGATGTGCTTTTCATCCTATCTGACACTCGTATTCATCCTAAGACTCGAACCCAGAACTGTTCGCTTCAAACACCATTACATTAATTAATTAGCTACTGAGTTCAAATAGATACTGACTTATCCAACGTAGTGGACGCTTAATTCATTTTTATTGGTCAGTCTTATTTGGCTTGTGCGCATCTAGTAACGATTGCCTTGATATTGTTAATAATTAAACTTTACTCCATTAAGCAAACTAGTGGCTAAAGCTTGAAGCTAAAAGTATTGGGTTTGATTCCAGAAATGAATGTTATCGATGTAATATATCCAATTTAAGAATTTCAAATAGGACAAAACGCGCCATTTGAATTCCATTGCTAACCATCTACCGTCTCGCCATACAGTAAATTTTTGTGACTTAATGGTAATATCAAGGCGATCCACACAAGATGAATATATGCCAATCAAAGAATGATCGATTGCAGTCTCATACATTAATAGGAAGTTCCAAATAACTAAAACAATGAACTAAGATTAACCTTAGACTTGAAACACCTTTTACAATACATTATGACTATTAAGTCATTAATATTCAGCTTAAACAGATCAATTTTTGAAACAATAAATTTACAATCAATAGGGGTTTCTGTGGATATTATAGTAATTTCAGTAATTGAATTTATGAGCCAATTGAAGCTAGACCATCATAGAACACCTGGAAGCACTGAACGGCCGTTTCGTCTTATTGTGGGGCTCCTCTGCAGTGTGCATCCGCGACCTTGGCCCCCCTGCAACATTCGAACCCAGGACCCAGTAACTTCGCACGCGATCACTTAACTACTAAACCACTGAACTAGTTGGTATCTAATGGTGTTAATGCCTAACTTCAACCAATTCACGAAATTGAGTGACACATCCACCATTGTCATCAGTGAGTTACTATCTTACAACAAACCCTATTGAACTCCACTGGTCACTGCATCTCATTATAACTTCAGGATATACCCCCCTGAAGCTAGTCACTAGTGAGCATATGTTGATTATTATCAAAAGGGATTTTTGTGGATATTATAGTAATTTCATTAGTTAAGATTATGAGTCCATTAAAGCTAGACCATTATATAAAGCACTAGACAATCGTTTAGTTACTAACCTTTTAATTACATTCACTTGCCAACCATCATATGTCCATGAACCAAATTTCATAGTACATGATTGATCATCAAATGGAAAATAGGTAATATCAATTTTACAAGTTGATCGTAATTTAGCTGGTGGTGGCCAAAATACATTTCCATTAAATTGTACCATTGCTTTACTTTGCATATAATCTGTTTTATAATCATCTGCACTAAAATAATAAAAAATAATATAAAAATGTTTTAAGATATGATTTCACAATTGATTGATCACTGAGTGGTGGGTGAGCAATGTTATGCGTGTCTAGTCCTTATTATTAGTACAGATCGAATGCTATCGATCATGTTGCAATGTGGCAACCAGTCTAGGTGACTCGACACTGCAGGCACTATTGTGAGATTAGATGATGGTTTGTTTTTGAACTATATTAGAACTTATCAATGAAGGGTTGTGAAGATTAATAAGTTTTTTGATTGAGATCATGAATGGATTGATGTTAGACTATTAGTGAAAACTTGGAAGCATTGAACGGCTGTTTCGTCCTATTGTGGGACTCCTCAGCAGTGCTCATGGTGAAATCCGAGTTCCATCGGAAGTCACGAGGCTGATGCCCCTTCTGACAACCAAGGCGATCAATAATTTAGATACATGGAATGCTGCAGTTTATAAATAGTGTACAGGAGAATATTATAATTTAATGAATACGTTTTGTAGTTTTAATATAAAATAATAGAATGGTAGTAGCTAGATGAACTTATTATAACGATATACCGAAGTGATATGTGTTGAGATAAGATGGTTGTTGGAGCTATTCATCAAGAAACTCTGAACCTCCAACCATCGTCTTATCTCAGCATAATACATTGAATGTCGAGTCAACTGGACTGGTGGCCACATTGCAAATTGGTAGGTAGCATTCGATTTGCACTATGAAGGACCTGACGCACATGACATTGATCACCACTCAATCATCAATCAATGGTAAAAGTAATGCGTATTCACATGACTAGATCCTTAATGTGAACCGTCAAATGAATTTATATCAAAGACAAGATAGGTAGCCTGTAAAATATGCTCCTTTATCATTCCAACAATGGATTTCACCATTTATTCAACTGTGTGCCCGAACCACTCAACAGTGCACTTGTGCAACTTGAAATTTAAAGTTGAATATATATCATTATAAGCAGAGACGGATGGTAGCTAGCAATGGTATCCACGAAGAGAGTTTTGTCCTGTTCGGAACTCATCAGTACAATACGCCTGCACTGTACAATCAACATTCACTCTGAGACTTGAACGTAGTGCTGTTTAATTCAAATGCCATCGTGTTATTCACTTAGCTATCAAGTCCAAATAACCCCTAGCTTGTACAAAGAGATAATTTTTCATTTATATGCATTAATGATAGTCATCATCATTATCTGAGGATTTAAAGACAGTCAGACAGTCTGGAGGTACCTGAAAAAGAAATTGGATTAGAGGTGGTCATAGTGACCTGAGAACGTGACCGCAGTGCCCAAGGGACAGCTGCTCGAGGTCGGTCACGCACGACCATTTTTTTGTGTTAGCTCCGTATTTGTTGAGACCTTACCACCGGAGACGGATATCTGTGGGATAAGGTGAGGTGTGCATTTTTAGAATCGACGTTTTCTAACCCCACCCATCCTTGTGGGAAGACAGAATCGCTGTTATGCTGGTTGTCTGAAGGAAACACCTTACTGCTGTCACACCTCTGTACAGTCAGCAGTACGACTTCGCCTTCGGACCTTGGATTTGTTGCTTTTAGACTTACCGCTCTTCAATCAACCTGTCTTGCATGATAGGATCTTGAGGAACGATTGTTCTAGCCAGTATAGTTCAGTTGCTTCATCACGATAGGCAAGCCCGACCACCACGTCAAAGTAGCAACAATAGTCAGAACTTACAGATACCATCGAGGCAATTCGCCCAAAATGTACAAATACCAATAAGTGACTGGTCAATTACTAGCCTAAACAACAATGTAAAGTGATTGATCTCTGGTAGTACCATTTCTGATGGATCTAGTTATTCAATGAATTGTATTTTCAATTTAAATCTAACCATCATTATCAATATAGTTTTACATATTGATAATTGATCAATTTTATTTCATTTATTTGATATACATTATATAATCAATTACCTATTATATAATACAATATCTGGTAACCATAATTTTTGACATGGAATTCTTATTCTTGAAAGATTATTATAATCTTGAGGATTCCATGTAAGTCTTTCATCAACCCATTCCTATAAGGAAAGAAAAAAGCAAGCAAGCAAACAAACAAAGAATATATATAATTATATCTGAACTGTGTGATGATGATGTCGTTCAAAAGAACAGTGAAAGCTCCACGACCAAATCATCCGGTTCAGAGAATAAAACTCAATCAAAATCATTTAGTTATTGAATATAATCTTTCATTAAGATCAATCATAATGTACCTGATTAGTATAAAGGAGATCCTTGAGTTTATTTTTTCTGATTAGAATTTTTGAGAGAACAAATCAGATTCCAGCAGAGTAAGAAATTAAGAAGAAGTGCTGGAAGTGTATCGTACACATTCAGGAAAGCAGTCAACTGCGTCACAAGGCGAGCCCTCACTTGGACTCCTCAAGGTCAAAGGGGAAGAGGAAGAATAAAGAACACACTAAAAACACACAAATGAAGACAGACATGAGAAGAATGAACAAAAATTGGATAGGACTAGAAAAGAAGATTCAGGACAGAGTGTGTTGGAGAATACTGGTCGGTGACCTCTGCTCCATCGGAGTATCAGACATACGTCAGTAAGTAAGTAAGTAAGTAAGTAAGTAAGTAAGATCTTTGAATTTAACGTATGATACTAGACTTATCTCGTGTTGTTTAAAACATGGCAAGTAACTTAATATGTTATATGATGTTCATGTTTAAGTTTTCATGCTAGATGGAATAGGGACCATGTTATGTCTTTATGGCCCGCTAGTTATCATGTGATATACTCGCCAATCAAAATATGACTTATTCGCTCTTATACTGTACTAAACCAATGACGTCCGACCGGTCTGACCAGCTTAGCGTTCTATTGGTTGGTTACTCGCCTAGCCCGTCCAGTTGAATTCAGAATGCCAACAACAGACTCCGCTATGCGAATCATTTATTTCAGGCTTACTAGGTTTATATACCAGACAAACATACCGCAATGCACTGTAAAACAGGAAATAACATTCGCACAAAATATAGACAAAGGTGACTGTGAACATGGGAGACAGTAATTAATAAACTGAGTATAACTTAAGAACAGTAAATCGTACAATAATAATATCTAGGTCAAAACGAACCTTATAATAAGGGGTATATATATAATTTTAAAAATATTACATGTAAACATTGATGCAAGGAGGAACCAAATGGATATTCACCACATAAATCATTCGATTTATGTGAGGGCTGGAATACTGCCTGGATGCCTAAACTCAAGCAGATGGTTTTCTTTGGAGCCCCACCCAAATCCTTCAACCTAAGGGTCTGATCCACAAGGATGTGGACCAACGTTAGGAGATGTAGTCACATGGTAGCCGGTGCCATTAATATGTTCGTACGTTATTTATTTCTGCAGGATAGTGTGGTTCATATTTACCATTGGTATGGAATCAAGGTCTTGCAACTCCCTTAGGTGGATCCTTCATATCCACCAACCCTGTTAAAGCACTGGATATTCGCTTTCCGTCTTTTTAATTTCGTAAACAACAATAATGCCGCGAGAAAGTAGTGAGTAGGACTTCCTTGGCAGTGATTGTATGCATGTGACCATATGAGAGCATTTTGAGGTAGAGAGATTACTATCCCCACTCCTAGGCCGTTTCGGGTCAAATAATTGGTAAATAATGTTAAATGTTTGATTTTTTTTCATCAAGATATCTTCTACAAAACATCTCTAGTCAATGATAGAACACAATAAATCTAAACAATCAGTCTTTAAATAACAATTCGGACGTAGTATTGAGGAATGAAATCGTAGTACAACAGAACAATTGTTATGTATCTCTAAGTTACACAGAATTAAAGGTGGTCGGTGACCTATGCTCAATTGGAGGTAATAGGTGTAAGTAAGTAGAGCAAATAGAGCTTTATACAGGACAACCAACACTTCAAAGAATGAACGATAGATCCTCTTTACATTTACACAGAATCGGGTTTACAGATTAGGTTGTATCGAATGTGATGCATTTGCCTGTAATATCGGCTAGTGACAATGAACATATAAACTACACATTTGTCATAATTCCTAAATGTATCTGAACTCAACAGAAAAAAATTCCTGATTATCCTTCCAAATTTGAACCATGTATCTAAACAACCATATATATATATGTATATATAACTGCTTTTGAGATGGTGGAGAAGATTTATAGCTCAGGTGGATGATTTTGATGTAGTTTTGTTCTCTGAGCTGGATGGTTTGATCGTGTAGCTTTCATCGTTCTTCTGAACGACATCATCAGCACAAACTTCAGATAGAAGTGTGCTGATGATGTCGTTCAGAAGAACGATGAAAGCTACACGATCAAACCATCCAGCTCAGAGAACAAAACTACATCAAAATATATAACTGCTATTCATTATTTACATTGTCAACACAAACACATACATAAAACTTCCAATCATCCTTCATATTATAAATATTTCTAGGACATATACTGTAGTGAATAAGAACACGATGGGGGAACAGTTCAACATATTTGAACACGAAATTATAGAACATCTGAGAATTATACCGTAAATACTTCATTGACAAACTATCCTTCAATTGTCTCAAACTTGAATGTTTCTTTTGCAAATATTAGTTCATCGTTTCATTGTTCCTACTATCTTCATATCCATTACTTTCTGTTCCTGTTCTTTCCCTATCGACCTTCTACTGAAATACATTTTATTAATCACTATCAATATATACTACTTATGTGGATATAAGTAGCTCACACCACAATACTAGTACACATGATGATATCACGTATAGAGTCATATAACAACAACAACAACAACAAGAATTAATACAATCAAATAAGGCGTCACTATTGAATGAGTGAGATTCTATAGAAAAAAACACACTATTCATTTCTATTAAACAACTCCCTATTCCCTTTCTTTTCAGTTATTATTAATTTTGGTAATTATTTCTTATCACAAGGGGGGGGGGCTTGTGAATAATTATAGTAAATTTTAATAGTTGAATTCATGAGTCAATTAAAGTTAGACCACCATGGAAAACCTGAAGGCAATAGATGGTTGTTTCGTCCTAGAATGGGACTCCTCATTTGATTTAGCTTAAATATTCAATTACTTCCCTAAGCTTATATATATATATTACTTACATATGAAAGCAAAAGTAATAGTAACTTATGTTATTACAATAAGTCAGTTATAGCATTTGATCAAATATCAATACATTATGCACGATATTTTGCAGTTTATTATTACTAAGATGTAAACAATTGTTTATCTATTCAGTACTCATGGAAAAGCATACACAAGAAATTTTTGTGTTAGTTAAATAAAGATGAATAGTGGCTAACAGTGGAACTCGTTAGCTGGATATAACTGCATCTCAGATTTGATATTCACTTTGGGACTCGAACACAGTACTGTTCCCTTCAAACGCGAACGTGTTATCCACTTAGCTATTGAGTCTGATAGCCACTTGCTTGTGCAATGAGGTGAAGTTTAATTCACTTGATATTGTTTTATTTGAATCTTCCCATTGTTATTTAGGAATGAAATTGATCAATCTCTTGCTGCCATATGTGCATACTGTGCGGACTTCCTTGATATTGCCTTAAGTCACAAGTATTATAAGCACAAGCGAGTGGCTAACAGGATTTTGCAAATACGTGGATAACCCAATGACATTTGGATCGAAAGATACGGGGTTCGAGTGCTAGTGCCTACATAAACTCTGGAATGGAAGTATATCTAGTTAACGAGTCCCAAATAGGACGAAACGCGCTTCCTGGATTCAATTGCTAGACACTATCCATATTTGCTTAGAATGCTTGTGAATTAAGGCAATATCGAGGCAATACGCACAGGATATACATATGCCAACAAGAGACTGATCAATTGCAGTCTTAAACATTAATGAGAAGATACGTATAAACAACAACAAGTGAATTTTGTGTTAGTTGTTTGTATCTACCTATTGATGTTCAAGATTGCAACTGAACATTCTTTTATTGGTATATGTGCACAAGCTAGTGGATATCAGGACTTAGTAGCTAAGTCGATAACGTGATGTTGGTAGGAGCAAAGGATACGGGGTTCGAGTCCTGGAGTGATCACTAACTGTGGGATGCAGGTATATGTAGCTGATGAGTCTTAAATAGGATGGAATGCGCGTTCCTGTTTCCACTGCTAGCCTCCATCTATACACAACAAATGATTAGTTCTTCGAATTTATAATAGCTATTTTTTGAAATAACTTTAATTTGTGAATAGATCATTACAATACATGTCAGTTAAAGTTAAACAGCCAATTAACTGATTAATTTTTCTTTACAAAACCAACGAGTCTAATGACATCACGGGTTATTTCACTTATAATTTACAAATAAATTTTCTATTTCTTGAGATCATGAACCAATCATTGAAAAAAAACTGGAAGCCTTGAGTAGACGTTTCGTCCCAGTGTATGGCTCTTCAACATTACACATAGGATTATTCGCAAACAAATTTAAAGTGTATGGCATTTTATCGTTTATTATAAATAACAAATAACTACATAAATCTTTGAATAGATCAGTTAAAAGAAGCTTATTAGTAAACTTCAGAGAATAGAACATATCACTATGTAATTAAAAAGAAACTAAATGGAGTTGAGTAATGTCGTTTAACTACTATGATAACTTTATAAGATTTCCTTTCAGCATAGAGTAATATGATACAAAACAGTAGACATTAGTAGACATTTATATAATGGCATACAGTTATGATAGACTATAAAGACTAGTTTGTAGACATCATTGAACTATGTAATTAACGTCATGAACCAATTGCAGTTGGATAACCAAATAATATTAGTCATCAAATAAATAGTTAATCATCCCTAAACTATGAAACAAGATGGATCCAGTTTCACAATTGGTTGATCACTGGGTGGTGAGTGATCAATATCTAGGGTGTCAAGTCCTTATTGGCGCAGATCGAATGCTATCGACCATGTTGCAATGTGGCCACCAGATTAGATGACTCGACACTGCGTGCACTATTCTGA